CCCACAGCTCAAAAGAGTTTATTTTCTTTTTATATGCTTTCTATAGTCACTGTTGCAACTCTTACATCCATACATAGTGATGGGAAATATGATGGTATGTACAATCCTAACTTTAGTATTCAGTTGTATAATACACAATGATTTTATCCATACATGATAGATCTTGTGTGAAGGTTAGAAACATTATGGAACAGAGTAACACTGATTGATTTCTTTAAAAAAAATGACTTATATCCCTGGATTCCTTGTTCTGCTTCCTTAATTATGTGACAGATTCTTGGTGGTTTACCAAAAATGGTTTATAAAATATAGGAAAAAGTAAAATTTATTCCTTGCTGGACATTGAAAATCTTTTGATTCTTCAGTGCTTGAATGGCAGATAGAAACATTGAAGGATGTCTGTGCCCAGGGTGACCAGATGTCCTCCTTTTCCAAGACACATCCTACATTTTAGCCTTCTATCCAGGAGAAATTCCAAAATGTCCTCCATTTTGAGCATGACTAAGAAGTATGAATTTATATTTATATTATTGTTTTTAGCTTTTATTTGATAATGTTATTCATTTTTCTTAAATGTCTTTTCTTAAATGTTATTAAATTTTTCCATGCCTTGTCCTCCTTTGTTGTTCGAATACCTGGTCACCCTGTCTCTGTGTCTGACTCTGGCATCTGATGTGACATTAAATAATGGTATAATTTATTAAGAAGGGTTGCAATTCATGTCTATTTCTTTTGAAATTCCTTAATATGAATGCAGTAGTAGTTTAGAAACAGGGGAATTGACACTAATATATAGTACATGAAATTCCTGAATTATATTTCTGCTTTGAAAAAAAAGCAAAACCTAATGGCATCAAATGAAGTAATTCCTAATTTTTTTCTAGTACATATTGTGTATTTGCATTAAACCTATCTTGTAGAAAAAAAAAACATTCCAGACAGGTTCTGAAAAGACACTTTCTGCTTGCCACAAGCAAGGAAGCTGTTGGCTGTTTAACAAACCTGATCCTTTGTCTGCTTGAGGCTGGGAGCAGGTTATAAAGAAACCCAGATATTTCAGCTCTGAGTGGTGCTTAATGTCCCCCGCCTGTCCTTCTCTGCTCCTCTTTACACAGCAGGTGGCTGTTCTGGTATAGAAAAGATCAATCTCAGATGACTATAACATCCAGAGCATCAGTGGCTGTCTTGTGCTTGGTTCACTCTCCTTTTCTGTCATCCTCCCCTTTTTTATTTTCTTAATACACAGAGAAAAATCCAATATCATGGCATCCTCTAAAACAGGAAAAGCACTGCATCCACAAAGTACCAACAATAAATTGCTACGTCTTCTCCGGCAACCAGCGCAAATAAAACAACGCGTTTAACAGACATCTGAGAGGCTCAAGGGGATAATTCCGTCCGGCATTTAATTGAGGAATTTCATGCTGCCACAATAGAATTTAATTTAGGTTTTTACAGCCCTGTTAAACATGCAGTCTTTCTTTTACTGGTTTTATAGTTCCTTGTCAAAAAGGGGTTTGTTCTATGACCAAGTGGGATTTCTTTTCAGGGCTGTATAAACAGCACAGTGCTATACAAATAGTGAGCCAGTTTGCTGCAGTGGCTTGAGTGCTGGACTATGGAGACCAGGGTTTGATTCCCAGCTCGGCCATGAAACCCACTGGGTGACCTTGGGCAAGTCACATGCTCTCAGCCTCAGGGGAAGGCAATGGCAAACCTCTTCTGAACCAGTCTTGTCAAGAAAACCCTTTAGAGTTTGCCTTAAGGTTGCCATAAGTCAGAAATGACTTGAAGGCGCACAATCCACACATACAAATAAAATTATCAGGACCTGACTCTGTGACATCACCTAGGGATAACTATAAGCCTCAGGTTTGACCATGAAATTTCAAGACCTAGGGTGCTTCTAGCCTAGGGTACTTTCACCCTATATAATTATAGCACTATTATTTCACTGTAACTGCCATGGCTGACTCTTCTGGAATCCTGGGGTTTGCATTTTAGGGAGGGATATTTAGAATTATCTGCCAGAGATCTCCTCTAGTGTCCCACCAAACTATAAATCCCAGGATATGACAGCATGTAGCCATGGCAAATACAGTAGAATCATAGTGCTTTAGTGGTGTAGTGTGCATTGTGCCCTGGCAAATATATTCCTCCTTCCATACCTCTAAAATAACCCTTTCTGCTTATTCAAAGATATAGCTGTGTTAGTCTCTAGAATCAGTATGTAGAGAGATATTGTAACACCTTTGAGACTAGCTGAAATAAAGTTGGCAGCATGAGCTTTCATAGTCTCCTTCCTCAAATGCATTTAGTGCTTTCTGCTTATGTCACTCACCTGATTTAAAAAAAAAAAATAACAGTCGGACTGAGAAGGGTTTATTGTTTCTATGTGCCTTCAAGTCATTTCTGACTTATGGTGATCCCAAGGTGCCTATCATGGTTTTTTTTGGGCAAGATTTTTTTTCAGATTGCAGTTTGCCTTTACCTTTGAGACTAAGAGTGTGTGATGTGCCCAAGGGCACCCAGTGGCTTACCATGGTCTAGTGGGGATTCGAACCTTTGTCTCCCAGAGTTGTCATCCAACACTCAAACTATCACATCACACTGAAGAGAATATGAGTAGGGGAAAAGGGAAAGAGGCTGTACTGATATACCATTCTTCATATTGGCTGCATTCATTGTAACCATAGAGAAGAAGAAGAAAAGCACTACACAGATGTGGTTGAACTGCCAGTTTAATGTTGGCTTATTATTTTGTTCATGTGGATTCCCATCCCGATTAGTGAAATTTCCAGAAGAGCCTCTGGCAGCTGTAAAACGTGTTCCTCCTGCAAAGGTGGGTTTGCAAAGCTGAGACTTTTCCCTTGAAGGCCATTGAGCATCTCTGGTGTGCGCCAGGTGCCTTGTTTTCTGCCATGCAGCATTTCACACTGCAGTTCTCCAGGAGTGCTAGAGAACACATGATGCTACTATATCTCTCCTCTGCTCCTTTGCCTGCCTCCTTTGGCTGCATTTTGAGATAAATCTACTGTGGAAAGACTCTCTTGACACACTCTGTGTGCTGGGATGTGGGTGTGAGAGAGAGACTTGTTTTAAAATTGTATATTAGGAATAATAAATTTGTATCTCATCTCCCTGTATAATACAACCGGGGAGGCTTACACGATGAAACAAACAATCCTGTCCCCCAATAGACCCCCCCCCCAAATACAATTAAATTATCAAAGTTTAAAACATACTTAAAATAACAAATTAACAATAAATGACAAGTAAATTAAAATAACTGTAGCAGAAATCAGGGTCAGGCATAATTTTTTCAGTGGCCGGTTATCTACTCAGAAAAGGCCTGCCGGAAGAGATCCGAATTGGAGCAGCTTGATCTTCTAAAGGACATTTTTTCACAGTCCAGTTGGACTCACAACGGTAGAACATTTTCCCAGTAGGCATGTCTTCATTTCATTTCATTTCATCCTTTATATCAAATGCATCAGATGGCTCGTGTGATGCTGTCCCTAAAAGTCACCCTAAGAAGTTAAGAGTGTGCTGCACCCCTTTCCAAAATGGAACATGGATCACCTTTCTCGTTAACTGTTTTGTTTTAAATATCTTCTTCTTCTTGATATTTCCTCCCCGACATTCAAAACAGCACCTTCCTCAGTGTGGGGAAGGCCCTTTTCACAGAGTGGTTTGCAAGCAGCATCTTAAGAATGCCACAAAACATTAATATAGGCCATTTGTTTAGAATAGTCAACGTTTACGGTAATTGAGTACATAACCAAGAAAGATAAGGCCCATGCATCAAAGAGTGACAGGGAGAGAAAATAGAGGGAAGAATGGTGTATCTGTGGTTGTGGGTGCATGTGTTGTGTGCCTTCAAATTGTTTCTAACTTATGGCAACCCTAAAGTGGTTTTTATCATGGGGTTTTCTTGGCAAGATTGGTTCAGAAGAGGTTTGCTATAATAATAATAATAAATCCTGCCTCTCCAAACAGATTGAAGCGGCTAACAATAATAAAACAGCATTAAAATACAGTAAAAGCTATTGCCTTCCCTTGAGGAAGTTTGCTGAGAGGAGGTTTGCTATTGTCTTCCCTTGAGGCTGAGAGAGTGTGTCTTGCTCAGGTCACACAGTAGGTTTCATGGCTGAGCTGAGAATTGAACCCTGGTCTCAGAGTTGTAGTCCAACATTCAGACCACTATGCCACACTGGCCATATCTGTGGTGCAATGGGGTGGAATGCAGTAAGTAATTGGTCATTAAGTAAAGATGTGATTAATTTTCTGTGGGTTTTCTGGGCTATGTGGCTGCATTCTGGAGGCATTTATTCCTGATGTTTCATCTGCATCTGTGGCTGACATCTTCATAGAATGGTGGCATGGAAGTGAGTGGGGTATATATACTGTATGACTCATGATTGGGATAGACACATATATCCCACATGTGGAAAGATATGTGTGTCTATCTCAACCAAGGATCACACAGTATATATACCCGATTCACTTCCATGCTACCGACCTCTGAAGATGCCAGCCACAGATGCAGGTGAAACATCAGGAATACATTTTTCTAAAACACGGACACATAGCCCATAAAACCCACAGAAAACTATAGACGCTGGCCATAAAATCGTTCGGCTTCACAGAAATGTGATTCTTAACTAATTTCATTCTCAAAGGAAGCGAAGAGTAACTGTAGTAATTTTCTTCCTGTTGCAAGAAATTCTTTGAAAACTATGCAGTTTTTGATGACTTTGTGTAATCCTGTATTTATTCTGTTCAAAATTCACACACGGGGATTTTTAGCACAGAATACAACATTCTGTGCAAAATTCACACATGGGGATCCTTAGCACAGAAAACAGCATTTTCTATGTAAAACAGTGTCTTATGTGGAGAGGATAATATTTTGCCACAGAAGCGTTATTTTCTGTGTGATTTTTAACACCTTTGCCTGATGAAGAAGCCAGTGGAGATTCGAAAGCTTGCATCGTGTATTTTGTGCATTTTGGTTGGCCCAATAAAGATATTGCTGTTTTGTGGATTTTGGATGTTATTGTACTATAAAGGAAGGGCTTGCCATTGTGAGCATTAGGGGGGTTGATAATAATCAAAGGAATTCCTTGCAGCAAATCAGAGCTGGTGGGACAGCAGATTGTCAGCTTGATGACACAACTAAATATATTGAAATAAAAATGGAGTGGGGAGGGAGGGACACATGCAGAGATCAGTTGCTCAGGATCCTCATCATAGGTAATAAGGCAGCCAGAATCAATGGTGGCAGCAGGAGAGCTGACTCTCACTTGGGTTATTTTCTCTTTCTGAAGGTGAGTTTATTTCCTGTTGTTTTTAATGATTGTGCTTTATCGCTCTCTCTCCCTAGCAGCCAAGAGCAGATCTCTATGTTTAGCTTTTTTTAATATCTTGCTCATAATCTTTCAACATACATCAAAATGGCTTTTTGCTCTCCTGAGTGTTCCTCTGTTGCATTTGTATATTAAAAGGCCAGAAATGCAGTGGTCCTCCTGCCCCCTCCAGCACAGCTTTGAATCTGTAACCTTGAAAATTTCAAGAATATTCTTGAAAATGTAGCTTCCTTCCATTGATCTCCCTCCCCCCCCCCTTTGTTTTGTTTTCTGTTTTGTGGAAACAAAGTGAAGAATCTGTGGAAGAAGGTGGCTACCATCTTTTTTAAGATTTGCTTCTGAAGCTTATCACAGCATTATGTATGTACCGATATACAGCAGCGAGCGGTGGAGTCAGAATGAATTAAGGTAATTTTTCGTGCTAGTGCTGTGTTCTCTGCTTTGGAAGGAGCAATACAATCTCCGCCTGGAGGAAAGTTAATATTTTTACATTCCTGCAGAGTGATGCAGTAATGAGCTAGTGCATGAAGAGGGGGAGAGACACAGAGTCAAAAGGAGATGGTTACTGCTCTCTGCTTCCAGTGCTTGGTGTAAAATGAGACATGAATCACAAATACCACCCTTCTGTATTTCTACATTGGTGCATGCCAGCAAAGCTGACCCAGAAATCATTGCTTAAACCACAATGATGGGTCAATTCTACATAACATTTTACCACCATGGCAGTGGGGATGGGAGTGGGAATGGGATACAGATAATGTCTTGTAATAAAGAGATTTTTTCTGGACTTTCAAGGAAGGATCTGTGAACAGAAATGGGCAGGAGACTTATTTCCTGCCAGCACAGATTTCGTATTGCATCATGGTGGTAGAAATGATATATCCTCTCTTTCCACTCTGCACTTATTTATCATGTTTTGCCTTATTTACATAACAACAACAACAATAAAAACTTTTTTTATGTCTTTCTCACCTCTCCTTAAGCCTCGAGGCAGGGTACAACATATTAAAATACAAAACACAATTAAAAACACATAAACCCACAGTTAAAATACAACACATTAAAATCATTAAAATACACTCATGAGAGTACATATACAAACCCAGTGCAACTTAGATTTGACAGGGGTTTTCCAACTTGGCATCAACACTGATAATAGTGTCTATAGTCACTGGCTTTGCCACTTTCATCTCTTCAAATGCATACATTTCCATGATGGAGTCATAGGAAATCCTGCTATGTCCCTGTGCTCTTCCTTCCTACGTATGGATTCCTTATCTTAGAGCTTCTCCATATCTCAGGATGGGTGACTAGTTTTCTTCCCACCCTCCCCAGAGTAAGGTTTTCATTGCAGTATAGTCAAACTGACAAATTTTCCTTCTCTCACAGATATTAATATCATCTGAACAACAGAATATTCTCTATGGCTGCAGAAGCTCAGCCAACAATTATCTTGAGATGCACAAGGTCACAGCAAGTAAAGATATGAGCCTTGTTTAACATAAGCTTATAGGTTAGGTGCATTTTTGATTCATCTTGATAAGGAGATGAGTAAAGAGATGGCTCTAGAACGCCCTTCCCAGAGAGGTTAGAATGGCACTCTCATTACTTTGTTTTCCTAATTAAATGAGGAATTTTCTGTTTCAACAAGCCTTTGAGGACCAGTTGCTTAGGCGGGGCAGCCCTTGTACAATGTGCTAGCTTTTCTGTTTGCTCTTGTTGTTGTGTGCCTTCAAGTTGTTTCCAACTTACGGTGACCCTAAGACTATCGCTGGGTTTTCTGGGTTGAGAGTGTGTGACTCACCCAAGGCCACCCACTGGGTTTCCATGGAAAAATGGGGAATCAAACCTAGATTTCCAGAGTCCTAGTCTTACGCTTTAACTGCTACATCACATGGTTCTCTGTTTTTAGTTGTACTGTTATGCTTTTTATGGTTTGTGTTTTTAACTGGACTTAATTTTTTTAATGTTTAATTACTTTTTAACTTTTATGTTTTGTGAGTTTTTCACGTCTTTTTAAAAAATCTGTGGTAAGGTACCTTTCGTCTCAAACTGGGGAAAAGGCAGCATATAAATAAATGTGGTGATTGTGATGATGTGATCAGGGCAGCCAGATGTCATAACCACAGAGGAGGACAAGGCATTGCAAAATGTAGAATATTAAAGAAATTACAAAATGAAAGTTAATATAAGTATAAATTAATTTCATATGGCTTTTTTCCAGCTATATTATATATACTGTATTTTATTATGTACTCAACTGCATTTTCTGATGAACTTGTTAAAATACCTTGCTGCCTTGCAATATACTTAACAGAACTCTGAGCAAGACAAATACTTAAAATTGTACTTTACTAGCAACAAACCCTTGACTCAATCTACCGTACATTTAAATTATTCCTTTAATTTGTCCACTGTGTTGAAATTAAGGCAAAAAACCTTTCAACATTTGCATTGTATCCTCAAGCAGCCCATTGCCTAACATGTTTGCCATTCTTTTCCCCTCTGAGAAACAAATGCACCTTGAGCTGTCCAGGCAAGTCTTGTCTGCTGCTACTCCTTGGAAAAAAGATCTTTAGAAGGATCCATCCTATCCCTCTATTTGCAGCAAGGACAGGTTGCCAAGTAGACACAATTCTCAAAGGAGATCAGCAAACATGATGTTATTCAGTGGGCTTCTTAGTCATGCTCAAAATGGAGGATATTTTGGAATTGTTCCTGAGCAGAAGATTGAAATGTAGGCCACGTCCTGTAAAAGGAAGACATCTGGTCATCAAGGGAAGATGAGAGGTGACGAAAAAGCAGTGCCTGGTCACTGAGATAGAGATTGCTTTTGCTCTTGGATGGATCTATGTATGTTGCTTATAGGAAGCCAGAGTAGTCCTAGGTAATCTGATTGGCAAACACTCTCCAAGCATTTTCCCAGTTCTTCTTTCTGGAATCCATTTAACTAGGGGTAGGCAACCTTTCCCCTTTAAGGGCCGAGGGACTTCAGCTCCCAGAAGCCTCAGCCATGTTGGCCAATAGTCCCATGTTGGCCAATAGCTCCTGGGATTCTGGGAGCTGAAGTCCCTTGGCCCTTAAAGGGGAAAGGTTGCCTACCCTTGAACTAAATATACCAAGGTAGAACCTGAGACGTTGAATTGGAAGCATGTGCTTTGCCGAGGAGCCAGTGAATACTCTGTGTGAGTTGTGAGGTTCTTTACCATCTCAGATCACCCCAGGGAGCAATGTGTTCACACTCCTTCATCTGTCTAAAACAGCAGAGAAATCCTGGATTACATGGGGTTTAGGGAGATGATTGAGTGTCATCACTCCGCTCTCTCGGATGACCTGAGGAGATCTCAGAGCCCCTTTGAAAGCCTTCTGGAAGTTTGCCCCTCACTAAACATTAGGGCGTGACACTGATGAAGGGCATGGAACAAAAAGTCAATTAAAGCTAGCTAGACATTCTTCTTCTTTCTTCTTCCT